TTTGGTGAATTAGTACCTTCCTTTGAGTGTATGGCCTTGCATCCCTTACCGAGCTGAACAGCCCCACTGACTTTGAAGTCAGATGCTGAAAGGTGATTGCAATAATCAGAGATAACTAGAGAACACTTTTAAAACATAAAATGAAGATGATAAAAGGCTTACTCTGCCATTTGAAACCCTCCTGCCTCATATTTAATGGTGACAAAAATGCAGTGGTAGAGAGACAGGGAGGTTGGCACTAAACTCCAAACCAGAGCAGCTGGGCTGTATGAGCAATTAGTTGATGACCCTGTAATTCTGCCATCAAGCTTAATTCTGCCTCTTGATTGCCCTCAAAGGATTTAAAGACTTCATTTCTACAAATAAGAGAGATGTTTCTTTCTCCTCCTCTTTGTTCTCCATCTTTCTCTCTGTCCCTCAATCTTCCATCAAAAGGAGTGTAGGGAATATTTTATTTGAGAGGCACCTGAGTCTTTCCCTCACTGAAGGTGTGATAAACATCACAAAGTGTTCATGGCATTTCACGTGAACCGGCATTAACTCCATAAGGGCTGGGGAGAAGTGAAGTTCAACTATAGGATTGTACTTGACCTGCAGACCATAGTGCTTTTGAACCAGTTATTTGGGTGTGTCGTTGTCTTGCTTATCTCACGCTCCATCACAGAACCATGACTGTGTTAACAAACCAATTTATGATGTTAGATAATGAGTACGGATGTGGATTTATGTGGATTAAAAGAAAGAGACCTAAAAAGCCTCCAGTGGGACCATAACTCCATGTGGTACTTACATACTGATAAGATAAAATTCCTGAAAGCCAACGATGCTGTAGTACAAGGGGTTTGGTGTAACCAGGTTGTTTGATGGACAACGTGCATTTCCTGCCCTGAGCCTTGTGTTACAGAGCAGAAGAGATGGGTGACTGTTGTACCTGGAAAGCAGGAGCTCTTCACATCAATGGATAGAGAATATGAGTGATAAAACAGTCACTGTAGTGGAGAGAACTGGAGCTTGCTTGCTTGTTTGCTTGTTTGTTTGTTTGGGGGTTTTTTTTATTTGTTTGGGGTTTTGGTGTTTGTTTTTTTTTATTTTGGGTTTGGGTTTTTTTGTTTGTGGTTTTTTTTTTTTATTTGGTTTGTTTATTTGTTTGTTTTTTGGGTTTTTTTTTCATTTTTCCTTTTTTTTTCCCCCCCAAATACCCATCCTGGATGTCAAAACATACAGTGGTCACTTGATTTTGTGCAAGCTGAGTGTCTGAGGAGAAGAGGTGCCTCTGGCAGACACGAGCAGGGAGCAGCCAGCTGGTTGTGGAGGTACTTCTACCCTCCCCAAACACCTATGTTGGTGCTGCCTGAGTCTGTGCAGAGCTGAGTTTTGGTGTTACTGGTTAAACAGCACAATGTCACCCTTGTTAGTAACTGTTAGTAGGACAAACCGAGAGCTGTGCTCTGGCTAATTCTATCAGCTGTGGCTTGGATTGGATTGAGCTGAAGATGAAGAAACCAGCTGTGTAACAGTGGTGAGGGCTGGCATACAAAGGTTTCCACTGCCATTTATGAGCAGAGCTCATTCCTTTCCTAGAAGAGCTGTGGGTCACTTTTTAATATCTCTTCTGTAAAAGAGCCCTGCTGAGCTGTGCATGTGTTGATATATCTATCTGTGTGTCCTGTTCACCCCCAGAACCTTGCATGTTCAGGTGTTCTCATACAGATGGGTTGTGCATTTGTCTTGCTTACACACCCAAACAAATATCACCTCACAGGAACAAAACCACCTTTGACTTAACAAAGTTCTTCTGCCTGCCAAGCACAAATTTCTTGGGATGCTCAGTAATTTCCAAGGCAGATCTCTGCTGCCTACTGCCCAGCAAGACCTAGCAGTGATTTGTATGATGTGCACCACAGAGGGGTGTTGCATCCACAGAGGATCAGCAACTACAGTATTTCTGTCAATCTTTCATTTAATTGCACTTGCTTCTTGTATGAAGAACAACATCTTCACATCACACGAGTCAAATTGACGTGGTCAGGATTTCGCTAGACCCATTCAGAGGGAAACTTTGATGGGGTGGTTAATTGTACCCAGGGAAAGCTGAAAAAGTAGTTTTTCATCAAGAGGTTACACTAGAACTGGGAAGGGATTATTAAAGAATGGTGCTAATTTGTGGACCGATGAGCAATAAATAATTTTCTTCATTCACACTTACTCCTAGATAATTTTTTCATCCCCTCTCTATTTACTTTTGGAGTGGGTTTTTTGATTATTAAATATGTGGAACACAATAGTATTATCCATATGACACGTACTGCTTCTAATTTTCTAAAGTTTGAACCAAAAAGATGGAGGGAATAATCAGTTTAGACTAAGGATTTTCTAGCTCTTCTCACTGAAATGAAGAAATCATTCTCTTAATCCTGAAAAAATATTTAGTTTAATGCAGGGCTATTGTTTCAGGTGTTAACCACTATAAAGAACAAATTTGAAATGAAAACCAGCTCAGTGTTCAACTCTGTAATAATTTAGCCATCTGAAAAAAGTCTTCAAGTGTTTATGCTGGAAAATACAGGGCAGCATTTAGGAACATGAAACATTTACCAAATTTAAAAGTAGTTGCTGTTTTCTTTTTTTGAAACTGCCTTTCTTTTTGTAGTTTATAAAGTGATGTATTCCTTCAAAAATTCAGGAAACTCTAGTGCCCAAAGCCTCCAACCAAGATTTTGATTCCAGTGTGCTGCACAAACTGTGTGTGAAAATAGACAGAGCAGACAGTAGGTGAGAAATGAAGACTTTTGGCCAGACTGTGTGATTTTTCTCCTACAGAGAGGCAGCAGAAGCAGAAAAAAAAATAATCTTACCAACATCCTGGAGCAGTGCCTTACTCAGTGCTCAGTTCTGCCTCCATGGGAATGGCCACTGGGCTCAGTGATGCCTCTGGGCACCTTTAAATGCCCAGAGATCTCGAATCCATCACAAAGAGGCTCTGCTTGAGGAACAAAAAGGCATTTTATGAACTCAACTGCACTGTCAGGAAGGAGAAAAGAAAGCTAAAGCATAGAGTTGAAGACAGTTTGTGGGATAGATGTGTGTTAATTGCTTAAAGGTTTAGAGCACCCTTTATCCTCTGCTCCTAAAAGTTCAAGAAATAGGGGTTTCTCCTCAAAGCCCTGTTTAAAGACAACCAGTATGTTGTTGGTGGTCATACTACAGGAATGACGCTAAAGACATTTTCTCTCCTGCTTTTGGGGATTGGAGATCTGGTGGTGTTTAAAAGGGGTTAATTTGTTGCAATTGAGATTTCTCAAGAAGGGTTGCAGTTTTGGAAACATTCACTTGGGAAGGAGATCATGGCTCCAGAGAGAGAAACAGATGCATTCCCTTGCCTCAGAATATCACACTGTCTAGAGAGTTAGTGCACTTGTTATTTTTGTGGGCTTTTACATATTTAAAACAAAAATACTCATCCCAAACCCACATTTGCACTCCTCCCCTCTCTGCCATTGCAATCTGAAAATGTTAAAAAATCTCCAGATTCCCAGATGGCAAAACAACATCCTGGCTAGTTCTCTCCTCAGTGCATGTTGTTAATTTATTTGTTGTTCTAACCCAGTTATTTTTTTTATTTTTCCTCTCTTTGGATACCACAATTCTTTTGGTCCTTCCAAAGAATTAAGTCCTTCCATCTTTAATATGAATAAAGGGGAAGTCCAGGCCATTGCAGGGTGGGAGATAGATGTTGTAGGAAGTGCTATACCACTGCTTTGATCTCGGTGTAAGCACCATGTCCAATCTAAAGCTGTGAACACAGGCTGAAACAGTCCCTTTATGGATCCATTTCTTTCTGTCAGATCTTCTTTATTATCCTTGCTCTCTGTTTCCACATTCATCTCTGCTACTGCCATATAACTTATCTTCCTTTACTCCCTTACTTGTCAGTTTTCTGTTTGCTTCTGAATTGTGATCCTGGATGATCCTCCTTAGCAAGTTCTGAACATATCCTGATGTAGCAAGTCAGAAAGGCTGGTTAGGTCTCAGCTGCTCTCCAGCATGTCCCAGAGTGCAGAACTTCACCCAGGTCTCACTGCAGTGAGCTTTGATTCCCCAAAAGATGACCAACCATCTGGGCAGCTCCCTCCAAACTTCTTCTCATCTTTCCCCTTCTCCGGACCTTTTTCATCCTGTTCCTTATTGACCTCAGTTTGTAAAGCCCTTTACTCTTCCCTTTCTCCCCAGTCTAGGTGCTCATCCTTCCTGAAAACCTCACTCCTTCCTACCAGTGGAAAATGAGACACTGGCCTATCTTTTCCTCCTTGTTCCCTGAACAATCCATGCACAGCTCCATAATTCTCCTCTGCTCTCCATGCCTTTCTCTGCTCTACTGTCCACCCCATCCCATCTGTGTGAGTGGCTCAAAGATGTGTTGCCCTTGTGGCTTCTCCCAGGCTGGGTTCCCAACCCTTCTCTACTCTCCCCACTCTGCCTCTTCTGTGGGTTGTTGCTCCAGATTCCTTTGTTCCAGATCAGGTTGGATGGGGCTTGAAGCAACCTGGTCTGGTGGAAGGGGGTTGGAATGAGATGATCTTTAAGGTCCCTTCCCACCCAAACCTTCTGTGATTCTATGATTACTGCAGATTCCTTTTTTCCAACATCTCCCTTCTATCGGATCATCTCCCTTATCCCAGCTTTTATTATTTCTCTTTTTTCTCAAGGCCTGCGGGATCCTTTCTCAGGGATCCCATACTGCAGCTACCGGACTGTGTCCCTTCTTCCCCCTCCCTGTCCAAGCATCCCTGTTCATCCTCAGTTCCACGCAGTAGAGGCAGGAATTGCTTCGCTCCACAAAAAGCCGGAGGAGTTCTGTTCCTCTGATGGCTTTTCCTGTTCTCCCTGGCTTCAATTTGCAAGCGAGTGTTTTTGCAAAAGCGCTCATCCCCGGAGCTGACAATAAAACTGTCTCTGCGCCTGAGTGCGTGTGTGAGAGAGGCAGAGAGAGGGAGAGAGGGAGGGACATCCAGCAATACATCGCTCCGGCAAAGTGAGGCGGCATCGGGGAGCTGCGATTCCAGGGGACGCTGGCGAGAAGACACGAGCCCCTCACTCCGGGCTCAGCCTGATCCCATTGGCTCCCGAGCTGCTCTTTTAAAGCAGGGAAGAGCTCGGAGGGTTGAACTGCTCAGCCAGACGCAGATTCTGAGCCAAGTTGTCAGCACGCTGCGAGGAAGAGCCTCACACACACGAGACTGCAGGGTGTCCGCAGCTTGATGTGCTTTTAGTTCCAGAAAGCGAGAGAGGAGAGGAAACACACACACAAAAAAAAAAAAAAAAATCAGAAAAGGGGGAAGGAGCCTCATCCAGTCCAGCAGTCCCGGGGGGAATAATGGATGTGACCATATCTCAGTTCATCTTAGAAGAATTTGATGTCAACTGCAGCCTCCTGGATCGCTTACAAGAGACTTTTTTAGAGAGTTCCTCAGTCCCTTTCCTGGGCTTTGATGGTAGGAAATGTTACCTGGTGCAGGGCTCGGAAAAGCTTTAGGAGTGCTGGGATTCGGTTTGTTTTGTGATGCAAAGTGTATGGCTTTTGTGCTTTCTCAACTGCTTCTTTCTCCCCTTCTGTCTCCCTTTTTAACGCCAAAGGTCCCTACTGCAATGCCACCACGGATCAGATCGGGACCTGCTGGCCCAGAACCTCCGCGGGGGAACTGGTGGAGAGACCCTGCCCGGAATTCTTCAATGGGATCAAATACAACACCACGAGTGAGTACAAACTCCTTTCCTTCTCCCGCAGATCTGGTGTTGAGAAGGCGCCTGGGGAGACCCAAAATATATTTTCCATTAAAAGAAAAAAAAAAAATTGTTTGTCTGGGAATCAACATTTCCTCCACATTCCAGCCTGTCTATTCAAAATTCCTGCCTGGAATGATGCAGATTTCTCAAAGGCACAGACTTGTGGACACTGTTTCCTCTTTACTTTAGTGTATTTAGGTAGATCTGGGAAAAAATACGCTCTGCAGTGTAGGGAGGGTATGTTGTGCTGTGTGTTTGTGCATGTGTAGCTATGTATAGCTGTATAGATGTATTTGTAGCAGTGCTTCAGCCATCTGGATAATTAAAGATCGTCTAGCTCCTGAAGGACTTAAGCTTATCACCTAAGAACTGTATTTTGAGAGGAGTGTCTCTTTTTGAGGCTGTTTGTGTGAACAGGGGGACAAACCAGGCTGGAAGTTGTGTGTAACAAACAGAAGGCTGAGGTCTGGAATCTGTTTAGTAACTTCATCAGCTGGTGAGGCTGGAGTGGCTGCATCAGCTCTGCAAGGGAAACAGGAGAGGAAATTAGGAGGCAAATAATACTCAAAGCAAGGGAGCACGGGGGCTCCTTAGAAATCTCCTGGAACTGATGCTTTATTCTTCGAGTCCTGATGACTCACTAAAAATTTATTATTCAGGCTGTCAGACCAGGGCACTCATTTCCTTTCCCTTGTCTGTCAATGTTGTTTGGACCTTTCACCAGGAGTTTTTATTGTACCCATTTGTTTGCCACTCATTTTTTTCAGGCTATTCAGTGTGGTTTTGACTGTAGAGATATTTTACTCTGAACTGTTGCTGGGGTGTTGATGGTCTAATTTGCAGGTACTGTTAATTTTGTGGGGCGAGCATTCTCCCTAAGTCCTGTAAAAGAATGACCCTGACGTTTTAAATTTGATCTTTTAACTTGTTGAGAGTGAATTTATTCTTTACCCAGCTGTAGATGTCAAGGGTCAGATAAGTAGCCAGAAGTTTGGTGTATTTGCTGTGTGAAACAGAGCCCTCTGCCAAATTTGCTCTTAGGGACCAGCTTCTGCCACCTGAGAGTTTGAACAGAGTAAGGAGGTTCCCTCAGAGAACTGCAAAATCATCCTCAAGCCCTCTATTCTCTGACCTATGTTCTTTGTTGGTGAGAATGTGGAGGGGCTGGGTGATGCTGTCTTTGATAAGAGCAGGTATTTCACTACCTTTACAAGTCTCAGTTGACACCAGAAGAAATTTTCTGAGGATTAAGTGCAGCTCAGGCAAGAGCAAGTGTATCAGAACAAACCCTAAAAGAACAGGAAAGGTACCTCAAAGAACTGTGGCTTCTTTTTTTTTATTTTTCCATTTCCTTTTTTTTTTTTTTTTTGGTGGGGAGTATCAGTGTTTCCTTTGCCTGATTTTTGTTTCTCCAAAAGGGAAGGGAAAAAAAATGCATTACAGAGGTTTCCTTATTTATATCGTAAACACAGTGAGGAGAATTTAAATGCTTTTCTTGTGCATGGAAGAAAAGAAAGTCCTAAGTATCACAATTTGTTTTTATGAACTCTGTTAATGCCTTCACTAGTTCATCAATGACTTGATTTAAAGTTCCTCCCTGCTCCTTTCCTGCTCAGTGGTGGGTAATGCTTATACTGCAGCTAATATGTTCTCTTAAAACAATGGCATGTTAATTCAATTAAAGACCGATGAAAATATGTTATTGAAATGCTGAAGCATTATTTTGCCATAGTCTGAGGCATTTTTTCTCCTTCCAACACAAAATGTGAGTAGTCCTGTCGAGAAAATATATGTCCATGTGTGGTGCCCAGATGCAGTAGAGTATGTAGTGCAATAAAACTGAAGTACACTGAAGCCACTGTAGCCACTTACAGTTGAACTTGGACTTTCTCATTTATGTAGTTCCTCCAAGTTGTAGCTCAGAAAACAAAGGGAAGGATGCCAAAATTTGCTCAACTTTTACAATCAGTAGCTTCTTGGGAACAGTTGGTGATTAAGGCTTGGGAAAGCAGTAGGGACAGCAGGTTAAGGTTCAGGCACAGAGGTGCAATCTCTTTGGGGATTTGAAAGATGTAATTAGTACATGCAGAACACATCCAGAGTTTGGGAATGTCAAATACTGACATGGCCTGACCACTTGCATGATTTCACCAAGTCACTTTGTGGGTGACAAGAGGGCCATTTGTAATGAGACTCCTTGTGCTGAAAATCTCGACTGTGCACCCTGTGCTGAGGATAAAATAAGCACAGAAAACTGATAAAAAAGCGGGAAATGGATCTTGCAAATCTCAGAGGTGAATAATACAGCTCGAAATGAAGGTCTGATAGGGAGATGGCTTGGATCAACGTAAGATTTCCACCTAGGACATGCAGTGCAGTTTTGTCCTGCTTTGTTTTGCATTTTGATGAGGCAGAGAGAGAAATGATGGTGTGTATTGTACTGATTTTTTTTTTTTTTTGAGAGCAAAATCAGGCAAATTTAAATAAAGCACCTTGCAATGTCTTTCTTCTACTAAGGGCTTATCCAGCTCCAGGTTGCAACTCAGCTGGTTATTATACTGTCAGGCATCCTGTGTTTGTGAGCTGCCACCTTTTAGGAACTGCAGCGTATTTTTATATTGATTTTGCACATCTGTGAGTATTTTTTCTCATTAGAATGCATATAGAAATTCTGGATCCATTTCAGTGATTTCTTTCTTGTTTTTAGAAATTTGTCTCTCAAATATTCCAAGTCCCCACCAACTTCCTAAAAGCAGCCCATCAGCTGGAGGTGATGAACCCAGTAGCATTCCATGTAGAGCAAAGCTTTTGCATTGTAGACACCAGCAGTTCCAGACTGAAAAGTGCCCAAACTGTGTGAAAAGCTTATTCCAGACTCAGGGAAGCCCAAGATGCTGATCCATGGCAGAGTTTTGGTCCTCAGGGGGAACCTTATTGTAGCCTCTGTGCGCGCAGTGTGTGGAATTCAAGACAAAATGTGATAAGTAAGTTCCTCCACAGATCAGCTCATCAAAGGCTTTGGGTGGACCTGCCCTGGCTTCGTGTCCATCTCTTCACCTCTCATGCTCTGATGTTTGCTCTAACTCAGAACCTCTGAGTGCTCAGAGGGGGATAGCTGTCAAACCCTGCAATATGCCAGCAAAATTTAATGAAAGAGTATTTGAGGCAAAAAACTTAAGAATAAGCCCCGGTGCTTAAAAAAATCCCCTCCTGTTTGCCACTCTAGAATAAACTGTTTGCATAAAATATTTCCATTCCAACTGCAAGAACTTCCCGTGGTGATTTTGTGCCTTTGCCTGTGTTTCTGTGTGTGTCTCATGGGAACTGCTGAGTGACTCAGATAAGTTTCAGCTGGATTTGTGGAACTAAGTCTGTCAGTCTGTGAGTATTTCTCATCCCCGACACTTTGTTATTTTGGTGATATTTTGTTTTTCTCCCTCTTTATTTGGGAAATAAAGTCATGTTGACAAAACACGCTCTGGTTACCCTGCAGTACGATTTGTGAATACAGACAAAACGTTCTTTGACCAAGGATCTGAAAATTATGCCATCGACTTACAACTTTGCAGTTTTGTAGCCAAGCTTATGTATTATTTTCAAAGGAAAAAAAAAATTTTAAAAAAAACAGGAAAAAATGTCTGTGTTGGTGCAGTGTGTGACTGTGCACTTGTCTCTGCTCAGGTTCTATATTTAGCTAAAAATGACAATAACATTACTGCCCTCTAGATGCGTTTATGCTTTGACAGTGTGAAGCTTTTATTCATGTTTTAGGAAACAATTCACTTATTAGGATATCCTGAAGCTTGATTAATTCAGCAAATGAACCGTAATGTGTCTGTTTGCCGTTTGCTAAAAAGTGGTGGTACATGAAAACATGCTACAGGCTAAAGGGTGTCCTTATTAGCTCTTTCCCTACAGATTGTGCTTTGCAATGGGAAAATCCAGGATTAAATGTTTGCCTGATGGACAGAAAGAGTTGACTTTTGTAGCCTCAACTGTCTGATTTGAGTCTACAACCCCTGATGTAGCAGAGGGGTTGAGACCCATTTGTTTTGTGGCTCCTCTCTTGCTCTGTGCTGGTTGCAGGCAGGAGCTGGAAGCACTGGAATCTGGGTATTTCCAATTATGTATCAACAGCTAATCCAAGTATTTAAGCTCTAATACAAGTTGGTGGAGGTCTAAACAGTGAATAAAGCCCAAAGAGTTACTCAGCTCAGCCCAGTTCAGCAGCCCCTGCAGAAGCTCTGGTGGTGTTTGATATGTCTCAGAGGTAATTTGCCTGATATCTGGTTCATGTTTCAGAAGGCTCAGGCCTTGTGCAGGTTTGGTTTTTGTCTTCCAGGCCACATAGGTGTTGCAGATGCTCCATGACAAGTGATCTGATGCCCATGTTTAGGCAGCTGAATTCATCCCTGAGTGTCTGTTGAGCTGAGCTGAACCCACCCCTGGGGACTGAGATCAGATGCTTCTGTGATCAACAGGAACAAAAGGTCACTGTACCTCTATAGCTCTGCAAATCCCCCTCTCTCTCACAGTGTAGGGAAGCTTTTTGACTGAAATAACCACTTCAGATGAGTGTTTGGGGTATTGTGAAAAGCATCCTCACCTTTTCCAGGGACTGTGCTGCTGAAAACAGGCACATAAACACTGCTAACCTTGCACTGATGGGGATTTTGCTCCTCCTTCCCTACTCCTTGTTCTGAGGGTGTGTGCCCCACCTTTTCCTTGGCCCTATAACCAACTGCCTGTTGAGAATGATTTGAGAGGGTTGGTGACTTGGCAACTGGGCTGTTGCTCACATAGATGGACATGGCAGAAAGAGCCACTGGCACAAGTATCACTGTTGTACCTGTTGACATGTCTTACTTCCCACTGAAAGAAAAATTTCTGCAGTCCATTGTTGCCTTGCCTTGAACAGAGGGAAATTATCTTTTCTATGCTGGTGGAATGGTGAAGAAGTAGATTAATAG